GTTTTTACATTCTATAATTAGTCCAAATGGGCTTTGTCCCTGAAGAGCTATTGTTTTCATTTTGCTATTTTGTATTGAAAACTTTAAAAGGATGTATCACTTTTCAAATCGTTGCCATCAAATACCATCGCATTCCTTACATTCTTCCTCTCTCTCTTATTTATAATCCTACTGAGAATACAGGCACCTGAAAGCCCAAATTTGAAATTTAGAATTAATTTTATTATCGATTTCATATTTTGTAAAACTTTAACAAATTTTTGATTAATAAACTCAACAATTTAAAAGTGAGCAATGACAACACTCTATGGGGGGGGGAAACCTTTTTATTTCTGGCGTGTGGAATTGTGTATTAGAAATTCTAAAGAAATGCTTATTTTAAAATTATTTTGCAACATTGCTGTTGAACTGAATTTTATGGTTTAAGGGCAAAGGCAAAGAACATGATATTTAATAAATAAAGGTAACACACAAAATGTAAAAAAAAAAAAAAAAAAAAAAAAAAAAAAAAAAAAAAAAAAAAAAGCCCCTTTGGATGTAATTTAAAATGTGAAAACTTTCAGATTCTTTTTTTTTTTTTTTTAACAGGAAGATCTATTATTTGTAAATGAAATTTAATGAAGAATTTATATTCACTTTGTCAATGATATACAGCAAAGTACACTGGCATAGCTTTCAGATGAATTATTCAAATTAAATGAACTACCGTATTTGACGGCATACAAGATGCACCCTTACTTAGGCGGCCACACAAAAGAAAAAAAAAGTTTCAATAGCGGTGTTTTTTTTTAGTTCTCACGTTTTGTAAAAGCCAAAAAAACAATTATTGAATGCAATTACCTTCACGTATAAGACGCAGGTAACGTTTTTTAGACCAAATTTAGGAAAAAAAAGTGCGTCTTACATGCCGTCAAATACGGTAAATCTATGTTTAAAAGATTATTCTTTGACTGCTTACAATGCCCACGAGAAAATAAAGCAGGCTTGAAAAGAAACTTGATCAATTTTTCTATACTTCCAACCTTAGAATCATTTGGAAAAAAATGGTATCATTATTGGAAAAGAATTATGAAAAGACATATGTTTGAAACTCCTAGATTACAATTTGAAACTTATCTTTTAAGAGGTTAATATTACAAATTTTTATGAGTTTGTGATCAATATTGAAAATATCAAAATGACATTGAACAAAAGAGAACAGTTAATTGAATTCTTGAATGACATCAAACATAAGATGAGTTTCCAAGAAGAACGTGTACAGTTAATGTCTGGATATCATTACTAGTGAAAATGGAAAATAGAGATTTATAACAAGGGTGCTTTAAAAATTATAACTTCGTTTGCTTTAACATATATATATGAGAAAAGGTTTTAATCTCTCCGATTAAAGCTTACCAACACACATTCAAACATAGTACAGTTGTGTAAGAATCGACAGACTTATCCCTCTCCTTAATTTGAGTAACAAAATTTATTTAATTAACAAATATAATTATTCAAACTCTAATAACCTTGAATTATTAAAAACAAATGTACAATTATACGAAATTTTAATTAACTACATTTTTAAAATCTAAGTACAGTCAAATACCTAAAATCCGCCGACCTGAAATCCGCGTTGCCTCTCGAAATATAAACATTCAGTTTATAGGTTCCAGAAACCGCAACATTGAGTACGAAATATCGAAGAAAAAAATACTTACCGAATAATGACATCATAATTACTGAATAATAATTAGTCAAAATGGAAATATTAAATTATTGATATAAAAATGTTTAAAAAATAAGATAAGTTTTTTTCCCTCTAATCTGCATCGAGGCAAAACAGCACACGATTCAGTCAACTCTTTATTCAAGTTCACGATGTTGTATTTTCTGAGCTTTGTTATTTCATTTCACGAGATTGTTTAGTGCTGCATTTTTTTAATCTGGATATTTTGTGAATAAATTAAGAAAACTTTAATTTTAGCCCTTTTTAATACAATGACAGATAAGAAACGCACTCATGATTTTACTGCTTGCAACACTGAAAAACGTAAACACATTGCATTGACGGTAACACAAAAAGTGCAAATTCTGCAAAAGATGGAAGCAGGTGCTACTCCTCGATTTATAGCAGAATTGTATGGAATTGCAAAACGATTGTGTACAATATACAGAAAAATAAAGAAAAGCTGTTGAAATTTTACAGCAACAGTGATTCTAACACCGAAATCTTTGCATGAGGGAAAATCGGCAAACCTCGATGCTGTGTACATATAATACAATGAATAATATAACAAATTTATATATGTAATAATTATTTACTGCATATAATAAACTATTGCAATAATGTATAAAATAATTTAATTAAATGTATCTAATATGCCTTATTCATTTTGCAATTTTAGTTCGAATATTATGCTTTATTTTTTCTGTCCTGAAATCCGCACAACCTCTGGTCCCAAGCTTTGCGGATTTCTGGAATTCTACTGTATACTGATATTGACAAATGCTAAAAAGGACAAGAGTGAGGTTTTCTGCAGAACACTCTAATTAAAGTGGTTTTTAACTGGAAAAAAAGTCTGAGAAAAGCTGTTCTAAATAACAAAAAAAGTAAAAATTAATGTAATGACTGAATACAGACAAAAGTCGTTAATCCGGACTCGTCGGGACTTCGGCAATTCCGGATTATAGATCATCAGTTTAAATCTGGTAAGATGGCATGCAGAAATTATAAAATTAAAAATATGAAACCGTAATTTATGAAATAAAGAACAATTATGATCTAAAAGGTATCAAAATTTACAAAAAAAAAAAAAAAAAAAAAAAAAAAAAAAAAGCTTAATATTTATTTGTTTACTTTATTAAACATTTCTTTCAATGTAAGTTGTTTAAGTTGCTTCGTTTTATGTGATAATACTTTGTCTTTAATTCTATAAACAGACATAATTTCTTCTTCAGTTACAAAGTTCCGCTGTTAAAGTCCTATAATTGCTGTGTCGACAATACCAACTAATTTATCAATCGAAATTTTTTCATTTTCAATAACCTCTGTATCATTTTATCCTTTATCGGAAGCAAATTATAATAATGAGGAATTTGATTTAAATCATATCAAAGACAGAGTACATCGAGATGAAATACTACATTTAGTAAGGAATTATAAGCGAAATAAAATAATAACATCTGCCCTGAAGATAAGGATAGTGCTGACAGATTTAACTTCCAATTCATTGCGCGCCACATCGTCCCCCCCCGGGCCGCAGAGCAGCGTGAAATTGATAAACAGATTTCGGAATGGTTCGAGAAACGAAGGATATGCCTTTATCCATTTTTTGCAGCAATTCCACTTTTTGTTTAATGGACTTCTAAACATACTCTCGCTTTGTAGATCTTTACATATTAGCAAATATATATTGGAAATTCTATTTGACATAATCAAAAGTTCAAGCTTACTTTTAAAAAATTGCTCTAACAGTCTGCGAAAGATGATAAGCCGGATCCATTTCGAAGATTCAGGAACAATGCAATCTGCAACATTAACTGAATTAGATAATTTTAGCTTAGCTTATACCGTCCGTTATACATTAAACGCACATGCGCACACGCATATTCGCAGCCATAAAAGTCTTACGCATCAATGAGACGCATGCGCAGAAAGTTTGTAGCTTTGAGGTCCGGATTATAGATCATTCCGGATTATGGGTGTCCGAATTAACGACTTTTGACTGTACTCAGTAATACCAAAATTGCAGTACCTGAATTAGAAAATGTATAACAAAATGCACTTATCAGTATTGTGAATTCGAATAATTAACAACAGCTCTAACTGATATGAACTTCATAAATATCTAGCCTTGAATTAATTTTTTAATAAGTCAAGGATTTTTTTAACAGAATTAAAAAAAAAAGTGTGGTGACATGATTGTTCATTTCTTTATTCAGTCAATAACCGTTGAATAGATATGATCTCCGCATACTGATAGTTACACCAGTATTGAAATCCTGGCGAATAGCGTTTGGTTTTCTTTAGAAAGTCCTATGCAAAGGGACCTCTTTGGCATACTGTTCTCATATGTTTTGCCTAAACAGTAGATCTTTTCATTTTATAGAACATTTTTTGGAATATTACATTATCATCACGGTTCCTTCAAATTAAAATTGACAGAGATTCTTCTTTGAAAAAAAGAAAGGGGAGGGACATTTTCATGAATTAATCTCATACATAACATGACTATAAATGATATGATATTCCAATTAAATGAAAAGAATTGCATTGGCATCATATCTCTGATAGCTCAATTGCAGCACAACGACTACGATAATCATCTTTTAAGGTTTTCCTCATATGTAAACATGTATACAAGGCATTTGCCTTAGAAAATCCTTCAAAAATGCACTACCCTTCTTAGTCAGATAACCTTCAAATGCTTTGCCATATCAAATAAACTAAACTAATCCAAGACAACTACTAGAGACTCTCATTTACTTTTTTTGCAAAGTCTCAAGAGATGTGCAGTAAAATTATTAATTTAAATCCACAATCCAAAATGCTTCAATTTTTCAATACAACTGCACAAATCATAAGAAATTAATTCAAAAAGTACTCACTTAATATGCAAATTTAATTGGTTTATAAGATATTAATTTACAATGGAAACAGTGAAATCTGAATACGCCAACACACTGGTGCATTTTTAAGATGGTTAACATTTTGAATCTATCCACCACCAAACAAAACAATAGATGACTTAGTATGAGAAGAGTAGTAGCATTTTAAAAAAACTAGATAACTAAGTCACAAGATCATTGGTGTTTAGATTCAAAATGTCATCATGAGTCACTTGTCTTAAGCTACTGAAGAATTCAAAGGGCATATAAACAATAAAATTTCACCAAGAATTTCAAAATAGTAGCAATTACATGAAAACTGAGCCAAGAAAATATAAAAAGCATACTATTCATAAAATGAAGGAAATGTTAAGATAGAAATCTTCAGCTCATAAACACAAACACAATTTAGGGATAAATAAATAGCTTTATTATAGCAACTATAAATTTTATTTATTGAATTAAATAACATTATAAACAATTTGATGTATTCCAAAAGCTACAATTTTTTTCTTTCTTCACATTCAATAAAATGCCAATTTTAACACACAGCTACGACAATGCACAATGCCACAATCTGCTTTACAAATTGAGATCTGGACTGAGCAGGTTTTCCAGGAGGGCAAGGATGAAAATCTTGCTAAATGACCACAGGCTTGATGGCATTAATCAAAATAATTAAGGTTTCACATACTGAAATAACACAAAAAATATAATTGCACTATTTTAATCACAAAATGCTTATTTGTTATTACAAGACAATTTTGTCAGTGATATAATACAGCACCATTTAAATTCAAATATAATGATATGATTTACAACTTCAAGATTGATTCCAAGAAAACAGAGTACCCATGGATTAGCCAGAAGCAAAAATGATTTCATGATGCTTAGGCACAAGGGATGTATAAACTATTATACATGATTTTACCATTGGTTCACGAATTAATGATTTAGTGAAAAGGGTCAAAGGGAGCATTCACATTGTGATTTTTATTACAGTTATCATAATCATAAAACATAAAATTCATTAGCTCATTCACATCTGTGGAATGGGATCTAACTCATAACCAGTCAAGGAAGGCACATTAGCATATGCCTGAATGTCTGAATGTGTAGGTGAAACAATGAAACTGTTAACAAGAAGTCTATTCATGTTCATTTTCACTTTGATTAGTCAATTCTTGTATCAGCCTGCCATTCAGCTGAAAAGTTAGACAAAACCCTTATATTGTTTCTGTGATTTCATGGTTTAGGCGCCTAGCAATAGAAGTTTGGTTTATATCATAAGTGATCTTTGTCTGAGCATTAATCAAGAATACACCTTTCAAAATAACATGTTTTATACTGTATCAAATTATAATATATTTAATTTACGAGTGCTGTAAGTATAGTTGTGGCAAAACAGGCAGTACAAACACTTTGTTTAAGTACAAAATTGTTACTACATTCTTTCAATAGCCAGTTTTGCCAAATGTATGAGGATTATCAAACTGCTTTGGAAAAGTGGTTTCTTTTAATAGACGGATGGAGTACCTTACAGCATTTAGAAATGATTAAATATTTTTGAGAAATTCTTTCAACAATGAAGCAAAGTAATAAAATCAACGGCACATGCCAGGAAAATATAGTGGATAGTCAAATTTCAATATAGCAAATAAAGTCTTTCTCAACTTGACACATGACAATAAGCATATACAAGCAAAATCAATGTGGATTTGTTCCTGAGGAAATACAAATGTTTGAGATATACAGTCAGAAGCAAGTGGTGCTCAAGCAAATACAGTGAAAATCGTTTAATATGAAACTGAAGGGACTGAAATATTTTTTCCGTGTTAAAAGATATTGCAATATATATATATATATATATTCAACAAAATTAAGTTTATTGGAATACATTTTATTTACATAGATATGTATATATGCATGTACTTAATAAAAATCAATGAAAGAAAAACATCCATAAAAAGTTAATTTAATACAAAATTTTCAAGCTTTTTGAAAAACAAAACATTTAGTGAGATTTTGGAAAATAATCTGATATTTTTATTTGCATTGCATTTTTTAACATCAAATTGTCAACAAATTGTTCGATGTCGTCCATTTTGTTATTAATTTCAACATTGAAATGTGCATCTAAGGTTAGGTTAGGTTATTTAATTATGGCTATCTGCCTAAGGGAAGGGATGCCTTCGTGGAGGACTTTCTAAGGGGAACTGGCTCGTATACACGTTACACACGGGGAAAACCACGAAAACACCCATGCAGCCAGCCCGTTCGCGGGATTCGAACCTCGGACCGAACTACCAGTGTTCAGTGACTTTACCGCTCGGCCGCTGGTGTGCCTGAAATGTGCGTCTAAATAACTGTGAATACTTTTCAGATGACGTGGGAACAGGAGCTACATTATTCACTTCATTTTTGTAGTCGGAATCTGCCTCAATGATATTTTCTAAGCTTTGAAAATACTGTAAGTTGTCTTTTTCTGCCATATAATTGGGGCTGTATAACACATTATCATCATCTACTGAAAAGAATTCTTCGGATGATACAGTAGGACAGTCCAATAATACAGAAACTTTCTGAAACATTTCATCAAGTGTCGGTTTAATTTCAATATCCTCCTCCTCCATTTCTTTTGGCGTGAATCAAAGGAGAGGAAAACTTTGGATGGGAGAACAATAGCGATTTCCATTCCGGTATTTTCTTTTATTTCTATTTTTTAGAAATAAAAAACATTAAAGCTAGTTTAAAGTTCGTTTTTGTAACCAGTAAGAAGTAAATTTCCTTGCAGAAGTAAGTAATGTTAAACTTCCTTTTTTTCCTATTAAGGTGTTTTCCTTTTTTATTGTCTATACTTGTCTTTGATGAATATTAAAATTAGCTTCTATTTTAAAATATAATTATTAAATAATAAATTTTAAATTTTCTATAATGAAATATATCATTGCATTTCCATCTCACTAACATAAAAACTTAAAAATAATTTACTTATATTTGAATGGGATATCATTTGTATTTTGCAATAATAAGATTAATATGTTATTTCTTAACAAATTTATTATCAATATCCACTCATTTCTGTCGTTTTTCATGCACAAAATGGTAAAATAATGGACGTCATAAAAAATAAGACGTGCACGTGTTCATGTAAAATTGCTAAGCGTGTGTGCTGGAAGGTTAAGCAGTACAAGGAAGAATTAATAACAATCTGTTGCATAACTTATGTACTGTTCCTAAATACTTCTTTTTTACAGATTTAAAAAAAAAAAAAAAAATTATGGTGACTGAAAAACTCAAAATATTTATTGAAAGTGCCATGAATTTTTGTATTATGCTAGTAATTGATAATAAATTATGATCAGGGAATAGCACATTTGTTAAAGAATGAAACTAAAAAGAAATTGACCCCAATTTAACAATAATGTATACATTCTTGGTACACCTTCTTACACTGTTAGTTGTATTTTAAATTCTAAATAACTGAATAATCAGATGCAAGAAACTGCCTTTTAGAAGATTACCAATTTTATGATTTATTAGAGAGCCTGCCTCCAGCTTGCTAATATTCCTCAATCTGAAGAAACATACATTATGTATTCCTGGCATGGAAGAGAAGGAACAGAAGGAGTTGCCTTGGTTGGTTCCACCCATTCAACTGGTTTAAAGCAGTGCTCTCCTTTGCTTATCAAAACATTTGGTGGTTCATTCATTAGGACGAATGGTCATTTTAACACATTCATGATAAACAATCTACAATCACATCATAAATATAAGTATAAATCTACACATTTTCTTTTCTATAATATTTCAGAATCTTAACTATTTGAAAGATTACTTTTTTTAGCAATACTTCATTATAAGCAGAATTAAATGCTGTGTATGTATGAAATTACTTTTGCTGTGCTCAGAACAGGTTTTTGTTAATTAACTAATAAAGACATTTTTCTTTGGTTAACAGTTACAAAAATTTATTGTATTATTAATATTACAATTGTGCATCATTTCTGTTCTATACATTAATGCTCTCTTCAGATTAAAACACCTTTAACAGTTTTTCTGATTTCCATGTAGTTTATTTTCTATAAGAGTTAAGGGAGAGACAGTGGGGGAGAAATTAATATTCTTTAACACTGGCAAATTAATTATTATAAAATATAAGAAAATAATTATTTTAATACTTTTGAAAAATTTGTCCTTGTATTCAACAACACACATTATAAAAATTTGACTTTACAACTGTCATAACTAAGTGCAGCATTTCCATATTCTGTGCTTTCCACAACCTTTTAACAGACTGTTTCCCAGTACCAATGATGAAACAGTAACAGCTTATAAATACACTGGTCATCAAAATTAAAAGATAATGAGAAAAAAATATGCTCACTAAGTTAATGCTGTAATCAATGTCCGATGCTGCAACTATTTATGCTAATTAAATACAACTGAACACAAAACTGAAATTTCCAGTGCAAACATTAGCACTGGAAATATGCAAATTTGGTGACTGATAATGTGGTGTGCTATGGACGCATGTCAGAATTCCAGTCTGTAGTGTTGTTTAAAGTGAACACGGATTTTTGAGAGTGATCAGCGTTCAGCACAGAGTGACAAAATAATTGGTACTATCGAGGAAAGTCAAACACAAATGGAGGTCGCCCGAGATTTGAATATACTTCAAAGTGTCATATCAAGACTTTGGAGCCACTTTTTAAGCACTGCATCAGTTGCTAGACAGCCTGGTCAAGGGTGACCATGAGCAATGACTGCATCAGACCATTTTCTGATTGAAGAAACCATGAAGCAACTACAAAAGATTTTGTTTTAGACTTTCAGGCTGCCACAGGAATTCAAATTAGCCGTCCTAGTGCTGCAAGAAGCTTAATGAGGGTGGACTGTATGCAAGAAAAATAATTGTTTGTGTCCCACTCACTTCAGCTTCCAGAGGGGCCTGTTTAACCCTCTGAGCAGTCCAGGTTTTTGGATCTGTCATGAAGACCTGTATTTAAAGAGCCTTTATTAGCTAAATATGTATATTTACCTATTTTAGTCTCTATTTTCATAAACTTACATTCATCAAGATGGCATTTATATTATTAATGAAAGTAGGAAAGCAAAATATCTTAAATTATAAGCTAATATATAACCAGTGAAAAAAAGACCACATAAAGCCGGCCATGGCACTCAGAGAGTTAAATGGCTGTTGCCATCATGTTCAATGGAGCCAAGATGACTGGGCCCGAGTATAGTTTACAGGCAAGTCCAGATATAGTCCTAACAGTGATTTGGAGAGAAGAAGGAACATGCAACTTGCCTTCCCTTGTTTGTAAAATATCTCATTTCTGCAGTTAGGAGAAATCATGACAAACAGCTACTTGAGCTGCATATCTTTCTAGAAGGTTCTGTAACCCCAAGTCAGACTGTTAAAGGGTGCTGTTGGCTCAGAGTTTTTGCAAATGGATTACAATGCTCGGCCTAATCGAGCATATGTGGTGTCAGAATACTTGCAAATAGAAGATTTTACTTGAATGGATTAGCCACCTTACTCACCCGACTTCAATCCGTTTTAGCACGTGTGGGATGCCTTAAGGAGCTAAATTCCTTCCCGGATGCTCTAGAAGCTGAAAAATTCACTTTTAGAAGAGTGGCATGCAATTTCAAAGGAATTAATCAACACTTTGGTGGAGTCTGGAAAATCAAGGTGTGAGGTATGCAAATGTGTTTGAAGCAACCATATACCAAATTTAAGAAAACATTTCCCCATAAGAAGTGATCATTTTCCAAAAACTTGGTTTTAATTTTAATATTTTGCGAATAATCAACCATCAAACATAATTTATGTTAATTAATGCTTTTGTAAAAACTTCTGTTAATAATCTTTCCTTAAGTATCAGTTATGTTTTAAATAAATCACTCATTTTCAGATATATTTCTAAATAAATTATTAATAATTACATAGCTAAGTAGAGAAAATATGGTTTCTTAAAAATATATGCATAAAAATACTGATATGTATTTAAAATTTTTCCTTTTCTACATCACGCATATTTTCTTTACTTTTAGTGCATTCAATGTATTTTTTTAGCAAGGTAATTAATTGGCAATCATTTAGCACACACCAGAATTTTCATAAAAATATGTGTAAATTGAATAAAAATTACTTGCATTAATATACTGCAATATTAATTTTTTAATTCATAGTTCTTAAATTTTCTTGACTTCAATCTCACCAACCTCACATACTTTATACCGCTTCATATTATTTTAATAAATTTGTTCTGAAATACATGAAAATATATTAATGCTATGAATCAAGTTGCATCTTAATAGCTATTTTCATTACATGAGTTATGTTTCAAGAACAAAGTTTTTAAAATTACCTGAATGCATTTAACATATTTTTTTTAAAAATTATTCTCTATGAAAACTACTTAAATTTGGTAAACGATTCATGTAAGTCAGTTGGAACTAGCAATATAATTTTTTGTTTTGTTACGTTTCATTTGTATTTATTTTTTGCTGTTTTCTTCCAGTTTGATCCTACATTTTTCAGTTAAAAGTTAGCAGACATATAAAATAATTATTCATTTATTTCACACATAGGTATGAAGGTTTTTATATCCATAAATTGCTTGATTTTCAGGATCGAAATAAGCTGTCAATGTAACAGGTACTGGTAGAAAACAAAAGTGTGATATCCCTTAGAAGAACTAACAAAAACTCAAAAGACTAACAGAAACTGGACTATCACAGAAAAACACTGCAAACCATTGCATAATGAAATTTGCACGATTTAGAAAACAAAATTATTTCTAAAATATTATAGAATTAAAAATTCACATTACTAAGCAATCACACACAAATTGATGTTTCATAACCTGTGGTGAACTGTTATTTTTTAAAAATTCACCATATTAAGTAAACATTATGCTATTCAGAAAAGGCTTTTTGCATATATGTAAGGGCGATAGAAATTATTCATTCTGCTTCTTTCTCAAAGACCATAAACAAACTATTAAAACTTCAAAAAGACAAGACTGCTTAGTTCTCAAATCTTTAATAGCAAATTTTTGCGATAAACAAAACGGACATGTATAGCTCTGAGCTGAAAGATTAGGCTCTCAAAAGGTACTTTTAAAACTGTCATATAAAAGCGATTTTACAAAAGCAAACGTGTTGCAACCTATAAATGTTCTCATACACACAAAATATTAATTTTTCGTTCAAACAGAAGTGAAATCAAGTTCTAATTTTCAGAAAAAGAGGAATTAAAAAAAGTAAATTAAATTTGTCATTCTACTGTTCATTAGCAAAAAAATTTGTTTAATATCACATGAATTCAGGACTGCTTCTCTTTCATAGACTGTTAATAAGACTAAATTTTTCATTATAAATAGAAATATAAAGGAAAACCTAATCACAAAGAAATAATCAACGGACAGCATAATTTCAGTGACAATAAAATGCTTACTAAAAATACAGTCATAAATGATACAGAATAGTGCTTTTAAATCGTGCAACTGATAAAAAACTAGCAAAAATATAGTTAATATGGTTATGCTGGCTTACATTCTTTTAATTTTGCATTTAAAAAAAAAAAAAGGATTAATGCACAATTGCATTTTCATTAAAAAAGTGCATACTTTTGAACAGCAAATTATTTTTGTGAAGAAAAGAAGCATCTGATTTCTTTAAAACCTGCTAAGAATATTCCAAAAAAGTCCTATTAAAGATAACATCCAATACATTTTCAAGATTTATGCTAATATTTTTACTTTTCAATAACATCTGATTTCTATTCAAGGTTAAATAAGTTGACTGAATATAAAAAATACCTGCAGAATGGTTGAACCCATTTGTGCGGGTGATCTTGTTACAACTACGCCAGCAGATGTCAATGCTTCTATTTTCTCCTGAGCACCACCTTTACCTCCAGATATAATAGCACCAGCATGGCCCATTCTCCTTCCAGGAGGAGCAGTCAAACCAGCGATGAAAGAAACCACCGGTTTTGCACTAGAACCCTAAAAATATAAAATTCAATTCAAATAGCTGGCAATAAAAAAAGTGTTGATTTATTTACCTATCACATTACTAATTTCGTATCACTTTTTCTACTACTGTATTTCTTAGCTGTGTCAATAAAAATAAATGTTTATAATCAAGATTACTTTTTCTGAAATGAAAAATTCAATACTTGACGAAAACAAAAAAAGGCCTATGAAGATACAATTATAACACTATACAAATAGTAATGCATGTTTTGGAGTGCATTACATATTATGAAGCTCTGAATAGCTCTCGTAGCAAAACAGCAAGATGAAAAATGAGCATCAGACTATCAAGCTAACTTTCTGACTTTAAAATGGTTAAACAAATTAGCTTCTCTCCCCAGCAAAATGCAGAGGTCTAAATACCTGTAGATGAGAATCTTTAAATCAAACTGATGCACTTAGCACAGATTTCACTATAAGGTAGAACACATTAGTCTCTATGGTATACTTGGCCAAATTTTGACTTATGAGCTGTAGCAGCCTCTTCTGTCTGTTAAACGCAGCTTTATGTTATCCAACACTTTTACGTTTGAATTATAATTACAGTTTGAAAAGGAAATCTTGTTTACAACATGCTTTTATAAAAATTAATACCTTAACTTTTAAAATTATACGTATGTATAATAATTTATAACAGTTTCAATCAGTGTAATGCCAGCTAATCGCTAAAATAATGAAAAAAATCTGATGTGTACACCACGACTTTCTTGTACGGAATATCAAACTATACGCATTTTTTTCTTGCATTTCATTTAAATTTATTGGATTGAATTAAATCTACATCGCCGACAGTGCATAAACCACAATAGAATAAATGCGTTCTTTAAAATTCACTCTAGTATTTGTTTACCATAGCGACACTCTGGTTCTAGATTCACTTAACAGTATTATTTTTGTTCATATTATAACTCATAAGCACAAATTTTATCATTTAAAACAGAATTATCTATCGTTGCCCACCTGTTTCTATTCAATTACTATAATAAGCTAGAATGATGTATACAAGAATTAAGCACATAAAACAAAAAGAAACAGTTTTTTTTCACAGACGATTGAGTATTTCCCATTCATTAATTCAGTTCTCACTTCGCAAGAAGCAAAAGTACATAAAAAACTCAAAATATCTGTATTAAAAATTACGGAGCAAATCTTAAACATTTATTTCCTTGAAAAAATTTCAGAAAGGATTAAGCATGATTTATTCGCAAAAAATGAGGCTTATCTTTGTTTTTGCGAAGCTAAGTTTCTCTAGATTGGCACAAATCCACTATCTGCTGTTTTCGAATTAAACAATCAATGTCCACCATAAAAAAAGCTTAGCGCACTTAAACAACTTTAAAATTGTTGACAATTCTAAAATATTGCATACAGATTTTACTAAAGGCATAAAAACCTTAACCGAAAGATAAACAACATAAATTCAATTTTTTAAAGCAAAAAAGTACAATTTACAAAGATATAAGAGTAAAGAAACTGAGATCACTGAGCGGGTAACAGAGTGGATACATATATAAATATATTTATATACTTAAGACACAATAACACGCGAATAAATACTAATTCAGAATCAAACAACAAAAATCACGTTATACCTACAAAATTTTCACAGGACTAGTTTCGATGGTTTTACCGAACCATCATCTTCAGCTGCAAAACCGCAAATGAACAAGGTAGGAATAATGATTAGATAAGATAAGAAAGCCTGAACAAGAATAAGCAAGTGGCGCCATCTGTTGGCGAAACCAGAACTAAAACATAATTTCTCTAAAGCCGAAGGCAATTTGGATTGGAATTAGGATCGTTAACTAGAACAGAAATTTTTTATGAATGTGAAATGCCTCTAGAAAATCCATTTCTCCAATGGAAGATGTTTTTTGAATAATTTTGGCAGCAGAAAAATTGAAAGTGTGATTTTCGGACCAGCAATGTTTGAGCAACAGAAGACTTCTGTTTTCCTTTTTTCTAACATATGCCTCATGTTCTTTGACGCGAAATTTTAAGGCTCTCTTAGTTTGGCCAATGTAAATTAAAGCACACTGGCAAGGAATCCTATAAATACCCAGGAATTCATATCCGAATGGGGTCCTTGAGTATAGAAGTTTGGAATTTTATTGATGGGAGAATAAACAACCCGAAAGTTAAATTTCTTCTGCTCAAAATATGTGCAACTTTATAGCTAATTGATGGAAAGAAGGGAATGACAACACAGAATTTTTTATAATCTCCTAAAATAAGATGTGGCTTTTAGTGTGTTCAGATGAGAATTTTTTAAAACTGCTTGATTAATAATGTTGGGTGAAAAGCCCCTGTCAATAGCTATTGCTTTTAAATAATTTAGTTCTTCATCAAGGGCTAGTTTGGAGGAGCAAACTTGAAGCGCACGGAAAACATAGGAAAAATGAAGCTAACTTTTGTTTAGTCGGATGACATGATTAAAGTGTGGTGGAAGGCAAAACCGATGAAGGTTTATGGTAAACTGTAGTACTGAAGTTGGATGTGTTACGTGTGACCAGAATGTCGAGAACGGAAGAGAATTGCAAGTCTCAAGTTCAAAAGTGAACTGAATAGCAGGATCAATAGAATTCATTGTTGAAAGAACTTTATTTAAATCATCTTTATTACCTTCAAACAGGGTAAAAGTATCGTCTACGCAGCGGAACCATGCCGGGAAGTGTTTAAAGTTTCAAACCATTTTGATTCATAATAATGCATGTAGATATCAGCGAGGATGGCGACTGAGGGAGCTTCCCATCAGCGCTAATCCCTCAGTTTGCTTGTAGTATTTATTTTGGAAAATAAAATGCGTTTGTTTCAAACAGAGTTGAATGAGAGAAATTAGCTCATCAATTTCGATGCAAGAGAAAGGAAATTCGCGAAAGTCTGGTTTCTAGACATCCTTAATGCACCCTCCACTGGAACATTGGTGAGTAATGATTTTACATTCAAAAGAATACCATGAGTTAAATTACTAGGAGAAATGTTTTTTAACCTTTTTTAAAAACTCTAAAAACTCTAATTGAATTTTTCATGGTGTAAATGTTATTGTTCTAATAGAAATTGGAAAATCTAGAAACTAAATTATTTAGCTAATCGGATACGAGGCAGTACCTTAAATTTGATACAAAAGGGCGGAAAGGAATACCACTTTTATGAATTTAGGGAAGAGCATATAATCTGCCACAATTCGCAACAGATGGGATAAGCGAATGTTTTTAAGTTGCTTGAAATGATTTGCGAAGATTTGATCGCAGTTTTTATTTTGGATAAGTCCGAAGGTGAAGGATCTTTAGGGATCGGATTATATGGTCCTTCGTTTAAGAGTTTAGTGACACCATCGATGTAAGTGTTCTTATCCATGACGACTATCTGGCCACCTTGTTCGCCTTTGAATGATAATATCCGGGTTAGAATGAATTTTCGCGCATTGTAGTTCTTTCTCTCGCATTTAGATTTGGTTTCAAAGGTTTATTATTGAATTTCACATTATGAGCGATAAGATGCCTAATCATTTCTTTCTGTGAATCTGAAACTTTACTGAACTTGAAAGCTTTTTCGATAGGAGCCAAAATCTTTGGAATCGAGGGTTTACAGGTTTGTGAGAAGTTAAAATTATATTTTAGAATTCTCTCTTGTTCTTCTGAAAGACTAACATTAGAAATATTAACTATTGGCTTGGTGTTACAATGGGAAGATTTTTTTGAACTACTTGAACTGGAAACTGTAAAAGAAGTTTTTCGAATTTAACTGCAAGGGTGTTTTTTATGACGGTTAACTGCATTCTCCGTTCTAGACCACGACTTTTGTTCAAGGGCAGTGAATTTGGATATGATTTAGCGAGTTCCAGATGAAGCTTATAGAGTTCATGTTCAATTTTGGATAATTGTTGACGTGTATCCCTTATCACGGACCGAAGTAAGGCAAGCTTGCAATTTAACAAATTCTTGAAACGTGACTCGAAGGTTTTTGTGATTAGATTTGATTTGAATAAAATTGGGGATCAATTTTTTACATTTACATTTAGTAAAAAGTCAAGATGATTCAGGAATTTTTGCCGTTTCAGGCGTAATTTAGTGAAACGATTAACGGATGAAGGGCATGATAATGTAATAAATTTAATGTAAATTAATATTAGTTAATATTCTAATGTTAGTCTTTCAGAAGAACAAGAGAAATTCTAAATATATTTTAACTTCTCACAAACCGTAAACCCTCGATTCCAAAGATTTTGGCTCCTATCGAAAACTTTCAAGTTCAGTAAAGTTCAGATTCACAGAAAGAAATGATTAGGCATCTTATCGCTCATAATGGAATTCAATAATAAACCTTTGAAACAACTCTAACTGCGAGAAAAAGAACTACATTGCGCGAAATTCATTCTAACCCGGATATTATCTTTCAAAGGCCGACAAAGGTGGCCAGATAGTCGTCATGGATAAGAAACTTACATCGATGGTGCACTAAACTCTTAAACGAAGGACCATATAATCCGATCCTAAAGATCCTTCACCTTCGGACTTATCCAAAATAAAAACTGCGATCAAATCTTCGCAAATCATTTCAAGCAACTTAAAACATTCGCTTATCCCAAGTTGCGAATTGTGCAGATTATATGCTCTTCCCAAAATTTAAAAAGTGGGTATTCCTTCCGCCCTATTGTATCAAATTTAGGTACTGCCTCGTATCCTAGCTAATATTTAGTTTCTAGTTTCCACTCTATTAGACAATAACATTTACACATAAAATTCAATAGAGTTTGTAAAAAAGGTTAAAAACATTCTCCTAGTAATTTACTCATGTTTTTTTTGATTAAAATCATTATTCACCAATGTCCCGTGGAGGGTGCATTAAGATGTCTAGAAACCAGACTTCGCGAATTTCATTTCTCTTGCATCGAAATTGAGGAGCTAATTTCTCTCTCACTCAACTCTGTTTAAACAAACACATTTTTTCCAAAATAAATATTACAAGCAAACTAGGGATTAGCCATGGCAAGCCCCCTCAGTCCCATCTGGCGGAATCTACATGCATTATTTGATCAAAATTGTTGAAACTTTAAACTTCCCGGCATGGTTCCGCTACGTAGACGATCTTTTTACCCTGTTTGAAGGTAATAAAGATGTTTAAATATTTCTTTTCACAATGAATTATTGATCCTGCTATCGTTCACTTTTGATTGAGACTTGCAATTCTCTTCCGTTTCTCCGATTCTGGTCACCAACACATCCAACTTCAGTACTACAGTTTACCCGTAAACCCTTCATCGGTTTGCCCACCACACTTTAAATCATGTCATCCGATAAACAAATTAGCTTCATTTTATTCCTATGTTTCCGTGCGCTTCAAGTTTGCTCCTCCAAATAGCCCTTGAAGAAAAAATTATTTAAAGCAAGCTATTGACAGGGGCTTTTTCCCCAACATTATTAATCAAGCAGTTAAAAAATTCTCATCTGAACACACTAAAAGCCCACTCTTATTTTAGGAGATTATAAAATTCTGTTGTCATTCCCTTCTTTCCATCAATTAGCTATAAAGTTGCACATTTTGCAGAAATTTAACTTTCGGGTTGTTTATTCTCCCATCAATAAATTCCAACTTCTATACTCAAGGACCCCCATTCCGGATATGAATTCCTGGGGTATTTATAGGATTCCTTGCCAGTGTTTTTATTTACATTGGCCAAACTAGAGAGCCTTAAAAATTTCGCGTCAAAGAACATGAGGCATATGTTAGAAAAAAGGAAACCAGAAGTCTTCTGTTGCTCAACATTGCTGGTCCGAAAATCACACTTTTTTTCTGCTGCCAAAATTATTCAAAAAAACATCTTCCATTGGAAACTGGATTTTCTAGAGGCATTTCACATTCATAAAAATCTTTCTGTTCTAGTTAACGATCCTAATTCCCAATCCAAATTTGCCTTCGGCTTTTAGAAATTATGTTTTAGTTCTGGTTTCGCCAACAGATGGCGCCACTTGCTTATTCTTGTTCAGGCTTTCTTATCTTATCTAATCATTATTTCCTACCTTGTTCATTTGCGTTTTGCAGCTGAAGATGATGGTTCGGTAAAACCATCGAACTAGTCCTGTGAAAATTTTGTAGGTATAACGCTGATTTTTGTTTTGACTTCTGGAATTAATATTTTATACGGGGGCCCGCGGCCGATTCACCAAAATGAGGTGGACATCTACATGTTAAGGTTGTCCTATGTACAAAATGTCAACATTCTGAGGCTACTCGGTTTTGAGTTATGGGAGATACGTACGTACATATGTTCGTACAGACGCCACGAAAACTTCTCTTCAGAATTACTTTTAAAGCAATTTAATAATTTTTTTTTAAGGAAACGAGTCTTTTATTCTGTCCTTACGTACAGATATAACGCAAAAAACTCATTAAATTGCATTCGATAGCGGTCAAAATGGATATTTTCGTTGAAATATGCTGCCTGAAACTTTTCGCGATTACAATACTTTTTTTTTACTTCGTACAAGGAAGTAAAAAGAGTAAATAATTTTGTTTCTGAGACTTACTATCTGAGAAATGATAATTTTAGAATAGTTAGTACCTATTCAGATATATGTTAAATATAACAGCTATACGCAGATGTACCGCAAATTTCGCTAAACACAGTTATAACATTTGGTTATAACTTCCTGCTATAAAGAAACATAATGGAAGCAGCTATCAAATCAGGTATGAGTGACCAAGTAATATTACAAGTTTATTACAAAATACAATTCAATAAACAAGGAAATGACAAAAACTAAATTATTTATATTACTTATTATTCAGCAAATAAAAAAGGAACTTATAATAATATATTATTCATAATAAATATTATTTCTTTGGAGTTCCAAATAAAATATGGTGCTTAGAACTAAACTAAATTAAGGAAACATAATTAATTAACATAGTTATTTGTTGTAACATACAACTCCACAGCATTATGTCTTCTAAATTACATTATTTAATTTTGAAGGGTAAATATACTTCTAAAGAGAAAGGTAACAGTGCAGCTATATTTCTACAGAGAAGATTGAAGAACAGCTAACTAACAAGTAGAGAAGAGATTACGAGTTGATAAAATAATATCAAATGTATAAGGTAAGTGAAACGCTTTCTCCACTGAAGCAAAGATTACATTTCTTATTCATTTTATTTTCTCCCCACCATTTTTTTAAGAGACAGTCTTATGTATGTATTACATTAAACATTAACTTTTTATTATTGGAGATGATTGCAGTCTTTTCAATTTTTCTGACCTTAGGAACCCACATACCACTTCAGCAGACGGTTCCCATTAACAGAATGCTTCTGAATAACTGAACCCTTGAAGTAAGATACCAATACATTCTCATTTTAGGAAAATTATCTGAAAATGGACAAAAATCCTAGTCTTATAACTGTCCACTAAAGGGAAGTCTGACTGAATTGTTCATAATATTAATACAAAATATGAAACATCTTTGCCTCCACATAAATAAAAATTTATAGGACACGTTTGTTTCTCTCTTTCTGTATATAAGTTTTCCTTATTTTAGTCATGATATTATAAATCATATGTTTGCATTTTTAGATAACTGACACCTTAATCATGAAACAGTTACTTGGTATAACATAGTGCATTAGAAAATGCACAAATGACAACAAGCAAATAAAAGGTTTTAGTATTTTCTCATTATCTGCACCACCTACCCAAAACGTCACAAAAAGTATTCACGAGGCAAAACAATATGTCATCAAAATAGCTACGTGGTAACCCACGATATCAAAAAAAGTTGGCACAGTAGAACTATTCATAATGACTAATAGAATAAACACAATTATCTACAGTTCAAAAGATGTTTAGCTTACATCGGCTTTAGGTAGAAAAATTACAGCATACCATAAAGGAGTTGAGTCTGAATGAAAATGGATTCTCAAAAAATGGGTTTCATTAATGATGTTTCCTGATTTTCAATTCTTTTGATTGACTGTTTTTGTATGGGATTTTTAGTCTGCTGTCATTTTGAGAATTGCTGTTACCTTTCACGCATAAGCTTGGTGAAAACTTGGTCATCAATAAGTGCGTGAATGCTCACCAAAGTTGGCAGTGAACTCACAACTTTTCAGTGGACATGCAGACAACCAGAAAATAACAGTTTTTCTTTACAAAAGCTTAAATGTACAGTAAAAGTGGACATTTTATAATTTACATAATGTACTTAATTAGAATGCAAAATATGGGCAAAACTTAATGTACTAGCATTTAATACAGCCAGATATATAAAATACAGATAAAAGAAATAAAAGTACTAACAGTATTATTTTTTCGCAAATAATCAGCAGCTTTTTCTTCTTCTACACCACCAATTTCTCCTATTAAAATTATACCTAAAAATGTAACAAAAACACATTTAAAATAAAATTATACGAACACAAATGAAACAAAGCTAAAAATCAATAAAAGAAAATACAGAAATAAAACTCAGCTTACAACACTGTAAGCAAGAAAGCAATCTAAACTAAAGCACTAAAGCAGTTTCAAGTCAAAGGGTGTATTTTACAGAAATTAAAATTATTGAAGCAATAAAAGTGCTACTTTTTAAGGTTAAGCAGGCAGATGTAGAAAGCTCAGAGTTTTCACATATAACTTTTCTAAAGTTTAATTCTTATGATTATAATACCAGTACATATAAAATATTAGGATAAAATAAACTTATTTTTTTTATAAAACTAATTAAGTTGATAAGAACCTTATATCTAGAATGTCAGAAACTTCTTATTGATGTATCTAGATACTTTACATACATATAAAAACATTTTTTCATACCATATTAAATTTATACATAACTTATGTGCTACTATATGTATTTTTTAATGATGAAATGCTAATTCTGATAATCTGAACCTTAAATATTACAAACAATGCACATATAGAACTCAGTTAAAACATAGACATTTTGAAAAGTCAAAAACAATTCAGAAAGAGTAAAAAAAAAAAAAAAACTATGTGTATGCATGCTCAGTGATATAATTTCTGAGCATGCATATACATAGCGTATGCTCATATAATCTTTTGGGGGTAAAATGTGGAGCGGATAATAATTTTTCCTACAACACATCTTCCCAATTCAAATACTTCAAAAAACTAGTAGCATTATTAGTGAAAATCCTGTTTTAATCAAACACGGAAGAATCTGAATCAGGGTGTGCAGATTAGCAGTCTAGATGCATATATTACTCTCTCAGGGACCATATTTTGGTATGTTTTATACAAGAAACTGCTGGATAAAGCCATTGAGATACATGGTTCATACGTAAAATTTTTTAGAAAGCACATTAATGTGTACACAACTTTTCAAATATTTATTACTAAATCCTCTTTAACAGATAGCTCTAGCTAGTCTTGCATATTTAGAACTGACTTATAAAGCCTCTAATTACAATAAATTCTATTTTTAGAAGTCAGACAATTAAATTAGTACGTTACATCCATTAAAAGCAATGCATTTTAAAAATTATTTTATTTTTAAGTGAATGTCAAACTTTTCATTTGACATCAGGAGGTACATCACAGCTTTACCCAGTTGACTTCTAAAATTTCATTCCTATAACTACTTTTACAATTAGTTTCTATTTTCATTTAAACTTTTTATCCATCAGTATATAACACATACTTTTCTTTTAATCAGAATTCAGATGAGACTAGACAGTGAATATTAAAATGTAATCATGATATGAAACCAGAGCGAGAGATATGGTGTTAAGGAAGGTGATTAATTGCGATTGTAAAATCAAAGATACTAAAGTGAATTTTCCCCCTCCAAACTCAGTTACCTTCATAAAGTTTGAAAAGTACTATATTATTCCTATTCCTGTTTGAAAGTACTATATTGGCTTGAATTAAAAAGTTTCTACAGTTAAATCTCACAGTTCAGCTCGTCATATGTTATGCATCTAGTTCTTGGTGACTTTACGACGTAGAATATACAGCTCTTAAGGAGGGCAAAATTTTACATATGTAGATGCATATTTGTTTTGATAGTATGCAAGTGGAGTATCATGATTCAGCATAAAAAATTTTACACATAACATTTTCCCTCTTTTAAGTGTTTATTTAAGACCATTTTACAATTTTTCTAAGGGCCTGGCGAATATCTAACATAAGATATCTGCAGTTTACTAGATTCACCTGCATCCCCATTAGTTTATAAAAGGAAAGGCTGAAACAGTTGATATGCATTTTATTAGTGAGCTAGTGAATAATTTTTATAATTTTACTTTATAGAGCTTCTAAAGAATTATTTTCAATGACAGTTATGCTAACTATTTTTGTTTTTCTTTTCCAAACCACAATTATTATTTGTCCAATCCCAATGAATGTAGGTACACAAAGGATAAAATACCCAACCTGAGTGTACTATTTTGGAAAAAATACTGAAGGATTTGTTTCTGGTTTTGGAAGTTGTTTTTCAGAAATATTTGCTGTGCTACTGAAAATGTTTGCTATTTGTTCACATTATGCTCAGGATACTGTTTTCTAGCAATGAAATTATCAACGTCAGAAACCAGTTTTGAAGTCTGAGAATGCAATAAGATATAACAAAGATAATTACTAGCATTACACATATATATATATATACTTCTCACACATGAATAGAATTTTAACTGTCATTTACCACTGTTTTTGACAGTTATACTGGCAATTTACATACACTAATATTTATTTATTTATTTATTTAAACTTCAGTGGTTGTAAGTGTTCAGTGTTTTCTAACTAAGCAATTCTTTCTTCTCAAATACATGCAATATCTGTCAGTCGTAAATTCAGAATGCAAACTGGTTCATTTGCACCCACTACAGCGCGTAACTGGAAGGTGCATTGATTTTGTTGATAATCTAAGGGTAAAAAATTTTGGTTTTTATGAACTGAATTAAAAGGTGCTGGTATTTAGAAAGATATAAAGGCAGAATTCCTAATAAAAATACATTGAATCAACTAGAAAATTCTACTATGTTTTGACAGTAAATTAAAAAATATATATAGGGTGCATAGGAAAGTCCCTTTAACCTGAAAATTCTTGCGTACGGAGAGAGCTTCAGCTTTGCAAGTGAGTATAGTAAAGTGAATACACCTGACCTAATGCAAATGATAGCAGTGCTCCTAGTGGCGAAATTTGGAAGAAAAGAAAATGAAAAGAGAGAGAAGCAAAATTTCCAATTAGAAAGTTTTAGAGCATCAATTAATTAATACAAAACAACATTTGGTTCACATGGATAAGATAAATTGTCGCCTGTATACCCAAAGATGTTCGCAACTGATGGGCGACGATTTTTTCCGCATATTCACATTTCGGAAACATAGAAGAGCACAATTGCAGATTATGGCACTGTACCATACTGTAAAACCTTAATTTCCAATGCATTTAAAATTTTAGTTTAAAAGGTGCTGGCTCTCTCTTCATACAAAGAGCATAATCTCAAAACTCATTATAATCTCGATGGCAGACCATAACATTACCTTGCTCTCACTGTGTGACAGTTTGCTTTCCAGTTTTTTTTTTTTTTTTTTTTTTTTTTTTTTTTTTTTTTTATGTGTGCGAGATGATATCAAACTGTATTGATGTAAGTATGTTATTTTTTATAATAAAAAGGTGTATATTTCTTAATATCTATGGCTATTTGTTTCAAATGTTTAGACAAAATGAAGTGCATTGATTGTGGACATCTTTGAGCAACAGTTTATCTTATCCGTGTGAACCGAATATCGTTTCGCACTAATTAATTGATGCTTTAAAACTTTCTAATTGAAAATTTTGTTTTACTTCTTTACATTTTCCTTTTGCAATGCATATCTTTCAAATTTTGCCACTAAGGGTGGTGCTGTTGTTTGCATTAGGTCGAGCACAGTCGCTTAACTATACCATTACCTCATTTGCATAGCCGTAGCTCTCTCTGCTGGCAAGAATTTTCAGGTTAAAGAGACTTTCCTAATGTACCCTGTATATATACAGAAACACTAGAAATTTTTTCTGCAACATTAAGGAACATTTTACTAGATTACTTTTCCCTATCACTCTGGCAACATAAACGAGTCTTGATATTTGCTTGCTATATTATTCCTATTATTTACTATGGTAAAGAAGTTATCAAAATGTTGTTTGACAGTCTCCACATAAATCAACCTCAAGCCATTCAGAGAATTTTGAAGTGACCTGAACAGATAAAAATCCGATGGGACCAGGTCATGTGACTATCAGGAGAGAAGAACTAAAACATAACAAACTTAGACTTCCTGCTTCTAAAACTAGGATATGTGATAGTTTTTTTCTGAATTGATGACTTGAGTAGGTGATAACAATTCAGAACAAATTATTTCCTTATAATATTATCACACATAAAATATTACTTTTTGGATACAGCCCATCTCTAGATTTCACTTAATGTTATTCCTCATTTCTTTCCAATAAGATTATCATATATTTCTCACTTCCAGTTTCAAAGAAACTTCATGTCACTTGATATGAGAATTGCATGCTGAAATTCAAGTAAGCACAATCGGTTCTGTCAGAAGTATAGGTATCTATATACTGTAGCATTTTACGTATCAAATTTCCTCAATCATACACTGCACATTTCAGCATAATTAATCTGCTAATTTCTGATCTAACAGGATTTTTTTTTTTGCAATTTGCTTTTTGAAAGGTCCTCATTTACAGATGAAGGATGTCTACAGTATGCATCATGAAGCTGAATGTTTGAACTTCTCAAAATATCTTCGAACCATATAATAAAAAACAGCATTTTGTCCATACACTGAACCAATTTTACGAATTATCTTATAAGATATTTTTCCTTTCCTTTGAATATGCCTTAATGGTGTAACTGGAAGCATATTCGACGGCGTATTCAAAAGGTCCAGGGTTTGAGTCCGGGTGATGGCACTGTGTATTTTCCACATCTCTTGCATCCAAAAACCCTAATGACTTTATAGTAGCACCTGAACTAAAAAGCTGCGGACCCTAATTCATCACCATCAAGATTTGTTGATTGAGTTCCCTAGTCCCCCAGTCACTCTTTAAAAAGGGGGAGTACGTAAGGCATTTATTTCCTTCCTCTTTCAGCATACCTTCATGGTGTAACTGAAAGTTTACTTGATGCATAGTTAAGAGATCCAGGGTTCAAGTTTTGAGGGATGTACTGTCCATTTTTTACGTCTCCATAAAAAAAAAAAAAAAAAAAAACAATGACTCTACAGTCCAGCATTAGTTGTAAATGTATGTGGTTTGAAATGAAAACAAAGTTTCATTTCGTGCAAACATGAATAACACTGTGAAATATATATTTTGCAATAATATGATTTAACTATCGGTACTTTTCCGCTTTGCCATCGCAAACGGAAATAATGGTACAACTGATGCCAAACAGAATATCTTCGCTGGTAACCTTTTACGCTTCATTTTCAAAACAAGTCACAGCCATTTCTTATCAGATTGATTGTTTCTTACAATACTGGCATACAATTACATAGAATTTTTACAAGGTAATTAAATTTTATGCCCTAAGACCATTCGCAGTAATTAAATCAATTAGGATGCAATCACACCGCTCACCAGAAGGCGAAAATATAAAAAAGGCAAAAATCAAGGGTTAAATTCATCAATTCTAATAAGAATGCACTAACGAAGTAAAGCACTGTGGTTTTACATAATTTCTGAGTAAGCTATTCGTACGAATTGAAATAATTCTCGCATTTAAACTAGTATTTGAAATTAAGATTTAACTTGAAATTAATGTAGATAATTACCGAGATAATCAGATTTTTTTAACGTAGTTTACTTGGGGTCACGTGATAAGAAACTGCGAATCAGAATGTTGTACCATAAAAGCATAGTAAATTCTTAAATTAATGTCTTTTTACAATTTATGGTCTTTATTTTTGCTTTTTACAAATTTAAACCATTTTAAATGTTTTATGCCTTCAATAAAAAAAAATTCTCAGACTAACATTTTTAGTCTACAGAATACAGTATACACATACTGTATGCTGTCGCCAACAAAGTCTGCTTGGCGAGATTTGCGCCAGCGAAATGGAAAAGTACCTAAATATCTTATAATAAATTCATTTAATATATATATTTGTGATATAGTTTCATAAAGAATAATGCATATTTTTACTTATTTTGACTCAATTTTAAATGCCACATGCCAGCAGGTAATGCAGCATCGCAGAAATAATTTTATCTCTAGTACCGATCATTCGCTGGCTGTACTCATAAAATTCTATACTTTAGCAAGCAATGTAGTACACATAAGAATCTTTTATTAAGTCATATTTCTTATAATAAGTAAGTCGGCATAATAGGTACAATCTATTTTTATGACACATTAACTATCAACACAACCTCGCATGACGAGCAGCGAAAGTGTTAAAAACTGTAAATCTCTTTGGATGACCCAATGCACTACATAGCATTTCTAGTTTTCAAAAAAATGCTAGCTGTTTGATTGGACAGATATTAGTTAATTGATTAATGACTGCTTCAAGTAACCTTTTACTGAAATTTATATAACTTACATTAATTTATTGATTCTTCGGTGAAACCAGAAGTTCCTTTCCCATGTCAAGTTTCATGACTATTCAACTACTTTGTATTTCTGCTTAAAAATTGGTTAAGTTGGAGTGATCTTCAGCACTCACAAATGTTTCAAATGTTCTCCAACAACTAAATAATACCTGTAAAGTATCTGATAATAATACTTGTAATCTATCACAAGCACAATCTATCACCTCACATAATACCTTTCTTTTAAATCAAAGAGTTTAACATCTGCTGATCAGAATACTCAACTAGAGCTGCTCTAACTGTCAAATACAAATACATGCCTTAAGTTAAATGTATTCTGCAAAGAGATACACCTCACTGATTATCACAGATATTAATATCCCAAGTAACTTATATATGCAAGTTTCTTTATCAAAATATTATTATCACAGGAACTGGAATACATAGAAACATGCTATAAGTAACATGATCTTAAGCAATGAATTTCTCGGTTTTATATTTAAGTCATTTTATAAAATTAAGTATCTCTAGAATTAAATACTCAGTGGCACTAATTACCTTCAGTTTCAGGATCATTTAAAAATATATCCAAACAATCAATGAAATTTGTCCCATTAAAAGGATCTCCTCCAATTCCAACACATAAGGATTGCCCAAGCCCGGTGATCGTTGTTTGGTGCACAGCCTCGTATGTCAGAGTACCAGACCTCGACACGATACCTATTTTCCCGATCTGATGAATATGGCCTGGCATAATACCAATCTTGCAGGCTCCTGGCTAAAGCGGGAGTATGTAGATAAAAATTACATTTATAGAATTAATAAAGAAATATATGAATACATGTTTTAACTTGGAAACCTCACATTAAGTTGCAAACACAGACAAAATATTGATATGATTTTCAAACAGAACAAGGTATTCTTAGCATCATTTGAATATGAGGTATGATCAAAAAGCATCTAAAATTTCAGTACTGGACTGGAGCAAGCAATACTAAGAAAAGGATGACGTCAGAGTCCAAACTCATGTATTAAGAATCACACACCTACCTAATTTGTTCAAAGAGCTATTTCCTTCTTAAGCATGTAAAACTCATTACTTCTGTCACATCATGATACAGATAATCTATAAAAATAACTCTACCTAAATTAATGAGTCTTATAAATACTTTAATATAAGTCTTGGTGACTTTTGGTCACCCCTTAATTTGATATCGTAACTTGAGAGGTGACTCTTGATCATCACTCTGTTTTGACGTGCTAATTTAAGCAGTAATGATGCTTATTTAAGCTTCGTTTGGGCAATATCATTTCACGAGTGTATTCAACAATGCATGCATATAAAACAACTGTCAATCTTTAATCTTTAATATGTTCTTTAGATTTATTGTTATATATGTGTCTTCTATATTACTTCGAACTCAACAGGAATATAATTTTCAAAGTTATAGAACCCTAAAAACATGGAATACAATGAAGGAATCAGTTCAATTGAAGATGAGTTCAAATTTTCATTGATGAGGAATGAAATTATGTCTATGTATAAACTACTGGAAGATAGAGAGAAGGAAAGCAGCAAGTAAAATGGCAACGAATTAAGAAGTGTAAAAGAAGGTGAAAAATCAGGGTAGTAGAAAGTGAATGTGTCGAGTCCACAGAAGAGACAAAAAATTCAGAGTGGATAACATGCGCAAGATCTGAAGAAATAATGCAAAAGTTACCGTTTGTAGCCAGCGAAAGAGCCGCAGGACCACATATACCTTCAGACATAAAAGAACCATTAAACCGCTGTGAAATCATTTTAAGTTAGCTGTAAGAAAATCATAATTGCAGGTTTGCCTGAGCAAAAAAGGCTTAGAGTGTAAAGGGTTAGAAACACACACATCATATAATGAATCATGGTTTTGATTCCAAAGTAAAAGCATTCCAGAAGCATCACAAGCTAAAGACTATGCAAGGTTTCAAAATACAACTACTAATAAAAGAAAAACAAGAGTTAAAGAAAAAGAAGAGGGAAAAAAAAAAAAAAAAAAAAAAGAGCAGCAGAAATATTAAGTTGATAAAATAATAATAATAAAAAAAAAATCATATGATACTTTAAGAGGATTCATCACCTTCAATAGGACAGAATACTCAAAACAAGGAATATTAAGTTTTGCTATCAGTGAAAGATGAATTCCATCATCAAAATGATCACACTATATAAAAAGGGTGAAAGATAAGCTCAGTATGACAATGTCATTAAATATGCATAATATGACTGTGCAGGAATTTCTCATAAAGCACTAGGCTAAAAGTCTTAATTTACCAGATTTTGCTGCCTATGGCTTTCTTTATCTTTTCAGAAAATCAAATATCACTTGAGAGGAAAATGATTTCAACATGTTGAAGAAATACAGCAGAATAAGATGAAACAGCTTTTGAATAAAAGAAATGCACTGCTTTCTGGTGGGGCAAGAGCTCAAGCATGATAAATTTTTAGCTGTAACTACTGCATTTTCTATTAAATTTATTATATTTAAAAGTCTAACTTCTGTATTTTTATTAAAAGAGATATCTAATTCAGATACTTTTTGATCACACCCCATATACTATTTTTTCAAAAACATGAAAAGGTATAACACAGATAGATGGATTTGTTTTAAAAATAAACATATCAAAGTTTCAAGAATTTCTATCCCCCCTCCCCACAAAATATAGGTTTCACGTTGTAATTAATAGGTTGGTTAGCATTCTGCTTCAGATTTGGTATCTCCCCCTCAGAACAATAAATCATATTTAAAATATCAAGAAAAGCCATTTCTTCATGTCTAAAATTCAGAATAATAAGATAAAGCAATGTTTCAGAAGCATATATAATTAGCATCCATTTTTCAATTATGATACAATGAAACACATGCACGTTATACATCAATATATGCAATAAAAGTATACACACTTAAGCTTTAAAATCAAGCACAATTCAATCTCTGATTGATTTCAAATAAATATTCTAATAATTTCAAAAGATATCATAAATGAACATGGTTGTCTTTTCTACTGGTAGCAAATACTTCCTGCAAGCATTTCAATAACATCTCCTTAGGAAAAATGGCCATAACTTCAAAAATTTGAAGGAAAAGGGAACAAGAAATGCATCATTTTAGATGATGATATCAAAGTTCTTTTCCCAAGTGTGTTTATACATAACATATCTTAAAATTTTTTTTTTGTTATACTTTTCCATTAATTCTGTTCAGTAAGTGATGTTACATGCCTATCAGCAAGTAAAATCTACAAGTGAAGACCTAGTATAAAATAACTGCTTATGAAGAACAGATCCTGTTCTGAATTAATTTTATGTAGAAAAATAAATACCAATCTGACCCTTTAAAATAGAATTTCATTTAATTTTAAAGACACGCAATATACAATGAATACGATGAAATGGAAATATGAAACTAACAACTGGTAACAAACACACAGATACATCTGGGGAGGGGAAGATAACAAGAAGAGGACATTCAGATACAACTGGAAAAAGAATGGCTTAAAGATGGAAATAATACAGATATCATGATGGGGAACAGAATTTAACACGGTTTAATAACACTGATGATTAAAACCTGGTGCCCTCCTCTAAGAATTAATTTATATACAATTACGTCTTTGAAGTCCTACATTAATAGGATACTGCATTCAAAATGCCACCAATTTTTTAATCTCAAACAAATAACTTTGCTTTAAAGATAAACAAATAACCCTGCCTTCAGATAATATTATTGCAAAATGCCCAGCTGCCATAAGACAGTTTTCCCACAAAGCAGGTTTAGGGTTGCCAGAAAGTGGCATGGAAAGGCAGGTTTGCCAGATTTGGCAACATACCATAGATGGAGAGAGAACATTCTAGAACAAATACCGGTTTCAAATGTTCTCAAAGGCAGGTCAAAAGCTACATATACCCTGCCTGTATGTGGAGTAGAAGTATATAGTGAGGAGTATCTTGAGTTCAGACATTAGCTTGAAAGCGATCGATCAAGTCGGGAGCTGTACTTTAGTGCTTTGCTATGAAGTCGTCTTCACCGTTATAGCCTGAAGACTGTATTGCTGATTGCTTCAATGACTGTAACGTGTCTTTGGAACTATCTTGTGTAATACAGAAGAAAAATTGTGTTTTGTAATATAAATAGTGTTTTGATTCTTCATTAAGTGTTGTCATCAATCACTCCAAATACATGAACTTGTAGAATGCAAAAATATAATTATCAGAATAATAATTCAAATAATATAATTATTTGTTCTTATGTAATATAATTGTCTGATGAAAAAAATCAATTTTCTCACATACAGGTTAAGGGAGTTTTTTATTGAATGAAATACAGTAAATGTCACAAGTATGAATACAAATGCAGGATGTGCTTAATCAACTGCTGTGTAATAACTATAGTAAGCACAGAAAGGGAGTAAACATCATTATATTTACCAAAAAATTCTTGGTTTTTAAGCAGCAATTTAGAAGAAAACACATAGGCCAAAAATAAGCGCAAATGCTTATCAAAATTAGGGGACTGTTGCGCTTTAGATTACATTTTCAGTCAGATTTTATTTAAATAGCTAAAATGTTATAAATCTAGAAAATTGGTATTTAACTATAATTTACATTTATTTATTGCAATGATTAATTTTTTATTCTCTTTATGATTGCAACTACCTTATTAATAAATAAATTTTAAATATAAAAAATGTTACAAGGTACATAACCACCTTTTACCTTAGAGCTGATCTTCTTGTACCTTAAATCAGTCCAGAGACTAAACTAAACTTCCATTATAACCCAAAAGTTTTTCATTAAGGATAATGTACATTGCTAAAAAAAGGGGGGGAACAGTTCTATACCTCCCATTCTACTAGACCGATTCATGAAATTCACATTGTGTTCTTCATATCTCGAAAGCGTGACTTAGGATATATATTAAATTTATATATAACATTATTCCAACATAGGTATTTTGACACAAAATCGGACTTTTTCTGAAATAACAAACCATTTTTTTTTTTACATATTTCGATTCTACGACTGAAATTATGCCTAGATACTAAATTTTGTAAAATTTGGTGCGAAATTTACGGAGAAATTCAAGTTTATGTTTGCACTTTTTTTCATTTGCGCCAGGAATAGCACTTGGCGAACTTCTTAATTATTACATCTATTTTCCTTTCCCTGTTGTGGGTGGGGGGAAGTCACGATCGTCCTTTTTCAGATACAGTTAATCTTATTCGACCCCCTAATCCGGACCCAAAGCTAAAATCTTTCTGCGCATGCGCCGCATTGACGCATGCGCATAGGCGTTTTACTCGTGCGCCCAAGACATTTACGACTGCGCAAGTGCAGAATACGTTTTCGCGTGCGCGTTTAATGTATAACGGACGGTATAAGCTAAAATTATCTAATTATCTATTTCAGTTAATGTTGATGATTGCGTTGTTCCTTAATCTTCGAATTGGATCCGGCTTATTATTTTTTGCAGACTGTAAGAGCAATTTTCTAAAAGTAAGCTTGAACTTTCGATTATGTCAAATAGAATTTCCGATGCTGGAGCTCCCAAAGGATCTAGAAAACGAAAGTATGTTTCGATGTCCATCAAACAAAAAACGAATTGCTACAAAAAATGGATAAAGGCATATTCTTTGTTTATCTAACCGTTCCGAAATCTGTTTATCAATTTCACGCTGCTCTGCGCGGGGGGGGGGGGGGGCGTCGCGGCGCGCAATGAACTGGAAGTTGATTTGTCAACACTATCGTTATCTTCAGGGCATGTTTT